GATAGGAAGTTGTGGAGAGTTATGATCTGATACATCCAACAGGAACAAGACTCATAGAAGATGATATAGTCATATGGTTTAAAGTTATTTATATTTAAATATAAAGATTGATGGCAGCTTAAAGCGTGAAACGTACAGCTACTATCAAGTAGTGATATCTTTATGTTCACACATTTGATATCGACCTATTTATCTAGGGAAGACGTAATCAAAACGTCTATATGTCGAACTAAAACTGGTTAATTAAATAACCTCTTTTCTTCTATGTGACGCCTCCCTTCTGGACATGGGGGATCATAGCTCTCCAAAACTTCTTATCCGCTGCGGCTTTTAACCGTTTTTTTCTCCTTTTGCTAAGTTTCCCGCCTCCTGTTCCGCTTTCCATTCACACAACTCGTCAGGTAGGCGACTTTCCCTAATTCCCTGCCTTGAGAGTGTCATATTTTCCTAGCTCTTCTGGCACATTATGTATCCAGGAAATTTCAGCTGCCTTTTCCGTTATACGTAATAAAAATGTCCGATTAAAAATAAAAGCATTAATTCTCTCTATTTCTCACCCTATATATATATATATATATATATATATATATATATATGTAATTACTTATTTAAAAATTATAATATAAATATGTAATAAAAACATTACAAAAATAGCAATTTTGTTTCAGCATCTCCGATGTCTTTTCAAGTAATGATGTTGAATGTAAAATAAATGGTTTTAAAAGTTTCAAATATATTAACGATACTTTGCAAAGGGAAAACGCTGTTACAAAAACTAGAATGACCAATCAAAACACAAGTATAGGAGCATTCAAAAAACTTGACAACGAAGTAAGGTTATAATAGCTTTTAAAAATAGTAATTGTTGGTTATTGGAATTTATTCCGTATACACCAATCCTATACTACTTGGGTATATATATATATATATATATATATATATATATATATATATATATATATATATATATATATATATATATATATATATATATATATATATATATGCATATATATATATATATATATATATATAATAAAGATACATCTAGTGAGCCAGACAAACCTACCTAGGCTTCACCTAAACGGATCGTCAGGGATTTTTTTGTCGGCAGAAGTTCATGTTTGTAGCTCTTTTTTTTTTAAAACCTTTTTTTCCCTCGAAATTGATTTGATTAGCAAATCAAAAAGGATTTTCGAAACGAGTCTAGTTATCTATATATATATATATATATATATATATATATATATATATATATATATATATATATATGTCAGGTGGGCTGACGTTTGCATCTAGCGTGAAACAGACTGTCGCCTCTAAGTGTTGACTTCTATGTACACTTTTATATTTACGCGCTCTATCTCTGATATTGAGGACTTTATTCCTAAATATAGCACATTTTAAGACTATATTTCTTTATATATATATATGTATGTATATATATATATTAATTATTATATTATTATTAATAATAATATTATATATTTTTGAAGATGCTTGAAACAATAAAAAAATGTATATTGATTATTAATAGTGTAAACATTAACTTATTTACCCTAGTACATTGTTTATTAATGTTTCGTTTGAAATATTTCCGTTTCTGTGCTGCCCTCAGGGGTTTGCGGTAAATGTTTCTATACTTGTTCGTGTGTGTATGTTCTTGGGCACAAGGAAGTAACGTATTCGCCTTAATATATTCCGAAATTGATGTGCATCCCCATAAGCGTGTAGGCATTTATAATCGACACCAACAAACAGGAACCCTGTCGCCCGATATGATTGGCTTCAATTAAATTATGCTCAACGCTGATGACACCCGATCCGTTTACTCTTATCGCGAATATATTCATAATGAGTTGCGAAGCGAGCTTCATCCAAATATTTTGCCAATGACCCTTGACCTCAGTTTTTGACAAAGTACTTAATGAAATCGTAATTTGTCCACCGAATTTATGTGAAAAATAATATTCTTTTTTTTCCCCCTTTTACCATTTTTGGAAGTCGAGATTAATTTTTTTTAGAATATTATATTCATCTAGTTCTTGCCAAAAACTCTAATGAGAATTAACTAATGGGATATGACGTCACAATTTCGACAGGACAATACACATTATATTGTAAAGACTATCCCACGAACTATTCTCATGAGAAAACGTTCTCTTCATGCTTGGGGAGTCCTCTACATGTCTTATCTATAAGAAATATTTGACAAATTTTTAGTGAGTATCTTTTTTTTTTATTTCTGAATTATGTTACTTCACGAGGAGAATGTACCGTTTTACTGAAGAAGCACACATCTATATAAAACTACTACACTATCTCAACGGTTAATCTGCAACATTTTAGCAAAGCCCGCTTACCCATTTTAATAAACACAGGCTTTATTATCACAAAAATTTTGCTGACAACACACGTAGTTTGTATTATATTTATTGTACGAAATACTCATAATTCTACATCATGTTAAAAAAAAATAAATAAATGTTGAAATTTCTTCAGCTAGGGTATAAGTATTTTATTTGGTAAACACACAACAAGCATTCTATTACATGCGTTGATGTCACTAAGATGCACAAGTTCTAAGAGTCCAAATCTCTGTTTACAAAACTCCGATAGCTAGTCACACACACACACACACACACACACACACACACACACACACACACACACACATAAGGGCTATGAAAGGTTTTCGGACACAAGCTCATTTAAGAAAATGGATATTGAAGTCAACACTCAGAGGTGATAGGCTGTTTCATGCTAGACACAATCGTCAAGCCGCGAGTGTTGGATTTTTCTCGATTATTTATATATATGGGTCAGTGGTGCATTGTGGGTAATCCATTCTGGCGGTTATTTTGGCAGGAGTGGCTTGTGTGTTTATTTATTTATTTGGCTCACTTTATTTTACTTGCTTTTCATTTTCACACTTTATTTTATATTTAATTATTCTTTTCGGTTTTCGATGTTTTATTAACGTAGTAAAAAATTATGGAGGATTTATTTTGGCGGGGGGACAGTTTTTAATTTGTTTATTATCTTATTTATTTATTTGGATTTATGTTTATTTGTATTAGTTCCTACGGTTATTTTAGCGTGAGCGATTTGTTAATTAACTTATTTATTTAGGATTAATTTTTTCTTATTTATTTGCTTATTTTTAATTTTGTGTATTTTGATTTACTGTGTTCGGTTTTCGATTTTTTATCGTTATATAGTAGTTATAACTAATTTCTCGTCCAATTTTTCGAATTGATTGTTGTAGTCTATTCTAACGGTTATTGGTTTGTTAATTTGTTTATTGTTTACTTTATTTATTTGGACTGATAATTTTACTTGTATTTTATGTATTTATTTTTTATCTTTATTTGTTCTATTTTGTCTATTCTAACGGGAGTGCTTTGTTAATTTGTTTATTATTTGCTTGGGTTATTTTACTTGTTTTTTATATTATTTTGTTTATTTTTATTTATCCTTTTCAGTTTTCGATTTTTAAGTAACGTAGTAAAAATTTGTTTTCATGTCTGCATTTTGAGATGAGCTCAGATCGTTTATTTAGTAATTTATTTTCCTCTGGCAAGGTAATAATAGCTATTTTTTACTCCAGGCAAAGCTTGCAGGTTTTGGATTGATTGTTGTAGGTTATTGATCTTTTCCTTATTTTCCATGATATTTTTGGAGTGATTTGCGTTTAGTTTTTAATTATCCAGATATATTTAGAAAACATTTTGCTGTTCGCGTATTTACTATTTGTGAAAGATGTTTTGTGTGCATAGTTTCATTGTTTCCATGGTCCTTCAGTTACTCCTATATATACTTTTTCTTCATTATCTGGTGATTTTATAGTAGCTTGGTCTATTACATTGTTTTGTAAAAAATTTTAATACGTTAATAAAACATCGAAAACCGAAAAAGAATAAATAAATATTAAAAAAATGAAAATAAAAAAACAAGTAAAATAAAATAACCCAAATAAATAAATAAACAAACAAGCCATTCCCGACAAATTAACGGCCAGAATAGATTACGCACAATGCACCACTAACCTATATTTATAAATAAAAATTAGTTAAAAATCCAACATTCGTGGCCTGACGATTGCGTCTAACATGAAACAGCCTGTCGCCTCTCAGTGCTGACTTCAATGTTTTATATTTATATTTACATACGCTCTATCGCTGATAACACTTTATCCCATAAATATAGCAAACTTTAAACCTATATATATATATATATATATATATATATATATATATATATAATAAGTTTTATGAATATGAGTTTGTGAGCCTGGGTTTCACGCTTGTGCGATCATCAGACAAACTTGTTTATTTTTTAAAATTGGATCTATTTATGCTTGATTGATTCCAACTAATGTTAGCACAATCACTGATATTGAGCGCTTTTTACTTAGTACCGAGCATGTAATATATATATATATATATATATATATATATATATATATATCTTTCTGTGTGCGCGTATTTCGCACACCATGAGTCTGATGTAACCTCGTGACAGATTAAACTATGCCATCCATTTGCTACACGTAGCAGCATACTTATGCTGGTTGCTATATACATGACGTTTCGACTATTTTACCTACTGACCTTCGTCAGGTGTCCGTCTTAATATTAGATTACGTTTTACTTGGTCTCGGAAATTGTATTTAATATTCATAATCCCACGTTCTTTTGAGTGCTGGATTTATTTTCTACTTTTGCAGGTTATGTAAAGCCAGGAATTAATTTTAGATTGTAAGAAATTCTTGGTTGGCGTTTCGGTGTGTGTGTGTGTGTGGGGGGGTAGTTGATAATAGCCTAGCGATAAAACCCTTACTAATTAACCCATACTTTGGGGAAGAGGAGGTGGATGCATACCTTTCCGAATGATATTTTCACGTACGTGTATATAACGAAATTAAACGAGAATTTAACTTGACTCCCCGATTAAAAATTCCGTACCATTATCCATTACACCATCCGCACATCCAACCTCACAGCAGCTGGTATTCCCAAGCTATTACCCATCTAAGCACTGACCGAGTTCGACGTTGCTTAACTTCGGTGATCGTACGAGAATCGGTGTTTTAACATGACGTTCCTGTAAGCTCTTTGAGATTTTTGTTTAATTTTAGAGTTTGAAACCGAATCCATCGCACTCCAGAGCAAAAAAAAAATAAAATAAAAATAAAAAAAAATAAAAAATAAAAAACAACAACAAAAAAACAACAAAAAACAAAAAAAACAAACAAACAAAAAAAACCCAACATGGCATCAGCCAACAGGCAAAGTCTATGGGTGTTGTGGTGTTTTTTTTTTTTTATTTTTATTTAGTAACGCAGCGAAATAACCTGAGCATTTCTCGTCTCCTCGCATTTTGGTTGTTAACCCCACCCGCCACCTAAAAAAAAAAAAAAAAAAAAATCATATCCATATCATACGAATATATTTAGATTTTACTCATTAAAAACAGAATCAGCCAACCAACAATTGGTTCAAACGATTGACGTCGATATCAGTTCCTTTACTTTGAATCCACATTGGATAACGAAGAAATCTTACCCCTTGAACAAACACAGTGTCTACTCTGTTGATTGTCAAATAACACACTTTAGAATTATGTAAATATTTTTGTCGTGTTCTTTTGATTTCCAGAAAACTGCTAACTTGATCCTCGGTTCAATTTTTTAAACTCATGTTTGCTGAGCCATTAGTTTTTCATGATAAAAATCTTTCTTGTGGTTTCCTTGGTATTAAACCTGGTTAACCTTAAAACGAGCCAGACTTTTCCCGTTGTTTATCGGCCATCAATCTGTCTTCGTTTCGTCTGCATTACGTACCAGGCAAGCTAATCGTATAATTTATTTCTTGTCAAGCTTGTTTCATTTGAGCTTACTTTTACTCACGCAATCTGTGATATTTTTGATTTTTAAATCTGAAGTCATTGCGTTTCAATCTACAACTGATACAATTGTCCCAAAATAACTATTTCGTAAAACTTGTAAATTTAGAAATCAGTTTTGAAACTTATTTTTTATTTTCAGATAACCCTATTTGCTTTGTTTAACCCGTTAACAACAAATATACACTACTGAGTAACTTAATAAGTTAATTCGTTTTTTTTTGCCATTAGATGGCATTAGAAGTGTTTAGTTTTGAGGAACTTCATTTTAAAAGACAGATTTAGCTCGCGTTGTGACATGTGTCATATTAGTACGTAGTTTCTGGGTTAAATATCAAAATGACCGTATTTATTAATCCTTGATGAGTTGGTTTATTTTGTTTTACGGCATATCAATCTCAATGGGTTATTTTATGCCGACAAGTTTTTTAGGATATATTTGTATGAATACAATATGTATTCTTTGGTTTAGATTGGTCTGGTTTATTTTGTTTTAAGGCATATCAACCTCAATGGGTTATTTTATGCCGACAACATTTTCAGGATAGTTTTGTATGAATAGAATATGTATTCTTTGGTTTAGATTGGTTTGGTTTATTTTATTTTACGGCATATCAACCTGAATAGGTTATTTAATGCCGACAACATTTTTAGGATAGATTCGTATGAATAGAATATTTATTCTTTGGTTTAGATTGATCTGGTTTATTTTCTTTTACGGCATATAAACCTCAATGGGTTATTTAATGCTGACAATTTTTTTTTATTGCTCGTAATATTTTGTTTTGTTAAAAAGCTGTTTCCGGTAATAATTTTTCTTCTAAATTGTATTGCTGGTAGTATTTTTTTCCAAAATTATTGCTGGTAATAGTTAACTATTTGCCGATAACTGGGACCCTAACAGGTGCTACCACCTCGGCTGAGGGTGGACCTGGGAACACCAGCAATTTAGAGATGGTTCCACGCTCCTGAAAACATCCTGATCATAGGACTTGCTGCTGGACATAGTTTATCGTCTTACCCAGGACACGGATGTAGTTTAACATCTTACCCAGGACGATTATTAATCCTTGAGTGCTTCGGCATGCTTACAGATGTTAGTTTTCAGCAGCAGCAGCAAGAACAACAATAATAATATCTTTAATACACCATGGATTGTATTTTAAGACAGCGTGTATGCCCATATTGTATTGTATTGTCTTTTCCGTTTCAGAAACAGGCATAGAAAGATTTGTTCAGTTTATGAATAAGTTATTATGAATGAACATGTCAAAAGCGATTCGTAAAGTTTGATGCTGTAGACCAGCCAAGGTTGATAACAATCAAATAATTATATTAAGTAAGAATTATAGAAATTACACGACGTTGGAGAGTGAAAACATACCCAGTATATTTAAATAAAGCGTTGAAAATTATTTGAACTAATTTGCTTATATTAGTTGCTTTGATGTAAGGCTCCCCTATAATTTAAATGAAAAAATTAAATAAATAAAAATTATAATTAAAAAAAACGTAATGGACCATATTTACTTGTATAGGTAAAAAAAGAAAGAAACGGTATCAGACCATGAAAAATAAATACTTTACAACAACGTGGAACACACAAAAAATCTTTGGTCAAGCGAAATGAATCAAAATGATGTAGATAACCAGTTAAATACTTTTATATTTTAGCTGGGAAGTTACCGTTTATCTAACATATTCCGTAGATATTGCACCTTTTGAATTATCACCTACTGTGACTAATGAAGAAGAATGGACACTTTACTACAACATGGAATTCAAGTGATCGTGTATCAAGCTAAATGAATCCCAAGAGATTAAGGGGGCCAGGTAAGTATTATTAAAGGACAAATTTGGATTACAGTTTAATGTAACGTGCGATGAAAGGTGGATTTTAGGACAATGTGAAAGTCCAGAGGTCGTCGGGCAAGTGAGCTAAGTTTTCATTGACAATAGCAAATACTGTTATTTTTTTTATCCAAGGCTATAGAACCCAGTATGTGTCTGTTTCATATTGGACACTAGTGGTTCAGACAGGAATCAGGCACTCGAGAACAAATGCTTCAGGAAGCTGCTTCGCATCTCCTACTGGGAGCACAAAACGACTGATTATGTATGAATGACAAATGCTGACAGGTATCTCTCCTCGCCACTATGAAGTATCGGAATATGTTATGATTTAGTCACTTCACACAGCATAACCATCCTCTGCAAGACCATCTAGGCAGTGTTGAAAGTGGACGCAAGCGGAAACGGCAACGCAATAGATGGTCAGGTATCATCAAAGAGTGGTCGGAGAAAAGAGTGCCGAAACTCCTGAAAGCCACCGCCAATGGCTTATCCTTGTTGTCGGGTTATTTTGTCCTTAGCTTTCACCAACGATTGAAGCAGTCAAGGAACTGATGATAATGATATACGTCTTAAGATATAATGATTAAAAAAGAGAAGACAACAGAAATAAGTGGGAGAAACGTCATGGATTTTAACAATCTTAACGTCTAAAAATACTGGATGCCTACAAAATATGAACTGACAAAATGGCGACAAAATACTCTAAAAAAAAAACAAAAAAAAATAACGAAGAATGCGTACTGCAATAAAAGTAAGTAAAATGATAATAAAACAAACAACAGTTAATGCAATATTAACAACAGCAGAACTAATGAACGTAGCAGTAAGAACCCACAATGACAACACCAAGAGAAACGGCTTTTGTATTAATTAGAAAACATCTAGACGCTAAAAAGGAAAGACAGCTGGGAAAGCAACACTTGAAAGGAGGCATGAAAATAGAATAATAACAAAAATATGATATCATCAGTAACAACAACAACAACAATGACAAACATTACATTAACCTTTGAATGGGTGGATGCTGTAACGAGCTTCGGTGAAAAGAAAGTAGCCCTGGTGAGTCGAGTTCGAATTCAAGTCTAATCACTTTCGTTCACATACGGATAGATGCTTTTTGAGAGAGTCGTGTATCCAACTTTTCTCTTCCCAAAATAGGATTAAAAAGCAACTCCCTATCTTTTTTCAAGAAGCTATGTCAATTCACAGATAAGGAAAGTGTGGAGAGTGAGGCACGCCGACGTTCTGAAGATTCACGGCATTAAAAAAAAATCACCAGATTCTTCATTTATATTACGTAAATGGAATGCACAGAAAGATTTTGCGTTCAATTTTGCACTAATACCCTGGGAAAAGGTATAAATTTGACCCCCCCCTGCCAGATACTGGTTACCTAGCAGTAGGGATTAGTGGCAACCAAGAAAATCTGTTTTCCAAACCATGGGAATGATTAATTTGTTTTTTACGGTTTATCGTCCTTTTTCGGATTGGGTAAAGTCAGTAAATATTATTAGATTTTAAGATTATTGGGGAGATAATAATGATTCACTGATACAAGTCCTACTATTTAACCCATAGAGGGGGTAGAGGGGTGGATTCATAGCTTTCCCATGTTAGAAATACCGAAATTTAATTTTCTTGCGACCTTGGAAGTAATAAAAATATTACATATGTTATTCTGCTTTCACATTAGAATACATGGTAGATGATACTCAGATGTTTTGCTCATACATGTTTGTGTGGACACAATTACTAGAGGGGCTCATTTGTTTTATGTTGTAGTTTTGTTGAAATTATGTTTTGTAGTACACTTTGATTTCTTTAAGAAATTGTAGGCTATTATATAGATTAATCTCATGAATGATCTTTTTTATGTTGCTTATTTGCTTGGGTGATTTTGTTTGGCGGGATATCAACCTCTATGGGTTAATTAATGCCGAAATCTAAATATTTTGAATAAAATTTTATGGCTTCAATTGAATATATTTTGAACGCAACTGTATGGCTTCAACTACACATAAAACGTATTGTTCGTATTTCTAGTATAACTATGTATTATTGGTAATTTTTTTATATAAAAATGTATTACTGGTATTTTTACTATAAAATTGTATTTTAAAATATTTGTATACAGTTTTGCTTTTGTTTGTAGAGTCACTATTTGACCATAGCTGGATCCCTAACAGGTGCTCCCCCTTCTCGTTGTCAGGGTTGTCCTGAGAACAATGGCAATTAAGAGATAATCCCACGCACCTCAACACCTCCAATCTCCAGATCAGAGGCTTTACGACCGGCGTTAGATTATTGGCGTATCCAGGATTAGCTTTTGTGAATA